ATGGCAATGCGCCTTTTAATTTCCTGGCTGCTGGTGCCAAGACTGTTGACTATGGAGCCAAGCAAACTAAAGCTGTGTACAATCTCAATCTCTTCACCATACATCCTGATGCTTCCAATTGGTCCAGTGGTGAGAATCTTTGACTTCTTGACATTGAGCCTCATAGTTAATTATTTTTTGACTGCCACCACCACCAGGAGCCCTGCTGGTATAGTTATTGATGCCATCGTATGATGCTGTCGAGTTATTGGTGCCATCGAGTACGACTTGTAACGACCCCACGAACAATAGATCTGAAGATCTGAACTTTGGTCTATCCTGTGCCATCCTTTATCATCCTCAGTATGTTTGAGTCCATTGCTACAGATAACTCTATCAGTCTGCTTCATTGGGGGTCCTCCTTTAATTTGTTAACCCTCCACTTTTCCAAGCATGATGCCACTTTCTAAGGAATAGCCTCTCCTAACAAAATGTCCAAAATATGTGAGATTAAGCTTCACCATCTGTGCTTTGGATGAATGCTCTGATTTCACTTTTTTTCCAGGGCATATGTTTGTTCTTTTGACAGTCGATAGAATATTCCATACTCTTCTCCAGCATCAGAGCTCAAATCCAGCAAATGCTTTGTGAGGGGTAGGCAGTGTCAACCTAGAATGATTTATAGCTTCAAAAATCGAATGGAACTTTGCTGTGCTTTGGAATGGACTCCTTTGCAGTGGCTTAGGCTGTAAGCTCCGTCAGGACAGATGAACTCTTTGATTGGGTTATTCCCAGTGTCTGGCACATAGTATGTGCTCACCAAAAACTTGATGAATAAGTGTGTTAAAGAGTGATATTTTTCTTTATGAATTTGAAAAATAAACTGGAATTATATCTAAAATTGATTTAGTGGCAAATTCCTTATTTGCATATATTCTCTGCTATGAAGTTGATTCCAGCTTGGTGACTTTCCCAAAAAGTTTCTTTGTCTGTAAATGTTTATGAGAGGAAACTACCCATCTTTCTCCTGTGGAACAAAGAATAGTTTTGAGCCCCAAAATTTTTGGTTAGCAGTCCAATACATTATGTACTACATTGTTGAAATAGCCGAATATATTGGGTTCCTCAGTGTTGCAAAGACTTAAGCTACCTGACTGAAAGGTTGGTGATTTGGATCCATCAGGAGGATCTTTTTGGAAAGGCTTGACGATCTGCTTCTGAAAGTACTTCTGAAAGTTGATCCATTGGTAGATACTACAGAGACAGTTCTTCTTTAATACACATAGTGTTGCCGTAACTTGGAAGTGATGGCAATTGGTTAAATGTTAAGTTAGACACATTTCCATTGTTTAGCCTCTTATCAACAAGTTGCTTATGTTACAAACAGATTAGTATAATAGCTTTCAAATTTTGACTGTAACCTACGATGAAGATGATTGATATTGTGATTTAGTACATATACTTAAAAAATATATTTCATGAACAACACTAGTTTATACTATTTGATTTCAGGTTTTGTTACAATAAAATGCTGATTGTGATATAAATTAGTTTGATAACCCAAG